GGGAAAGAGGGAGGCGTAGAGGGGGTTTAAATAGTCATATTTCTGTGGTTCTTTCCAATCTTTAATAGTTATACTTGCAATTATTTATATTTTTAATTATATATATATATATATTATGATAGGCTTATAGATACAATAATGTTATGAATCCAATGAGTTGTTGATTTGGTTTAATTATTTAAACAAAGAGGATAGGATCAAAGGCCAACCCTATCATTTTGGTTCCAATTATTTAGGAACTCAGCCTCGTAGCAATCATATTAGTATTTATAATAAAAAAATCAGTAATTAAATTTACACAAATTTTTTTAGTCCTCATTTTAAATTTGTATTGATAATTTTTAAACTATACTCTTCCCTCTTAGCTGTCGCCATTAGTTATTTGATATCGACATTTTGGGCATAGTTCGTGTTTGATGTTGCATACCAAATACATGCATTCCAAGAAATAAAAATAAAAATATTGAGGGGAAAAAGGATAAATTTAATATATTTTTAGTAATTGTTATCGTATACAGTGATCTTCTAAAAAAATTAGTCACATTTACATCAATAATGTACTATCTGATAGCTTACGTGTCCGCATCTATATAGTTATACATATATATTGAATCACATGCATGGGAATCACTACTGGTGTGCACTCAAAAGATTCACACGCATTCATATGTTTGTCGATATTATTCAAGGTTTTCAAGATCCAATAATTATCTTGGCATATATATATATATACATGTTCGTTCTATCTATTTATAAAACTGTGTATTTCGATGAGGACTATCTCATATCATCAATTCATATGCGGGAATTTTTTTTTTCAAATTGTGGAAATTAGTATTGCATATATAACGTCAATTTTAAAATTAGTATTATGTACATATATATATATATATATTTATATATATATATATATATATTATTCGTAAGAATCGAATAGAAAAAAACAAGAAAGTAAAGTGCGAATCTGTCTGAAAAGCAGTTCATGCCTATATAATTGGTACTACCACCACCGTCCGAAAATGACGTACTCGAAAATCGAAATTTAGGAAGAAGAGACAGCTGTTTGTAATTTTATTTTATTTTATTTTTTAATATATTGAAGGGCAAATAATTGGACGGTTTTTTATTTATTAACGGGATATTTTCAAATCTTAGATATCTCTTCGAAATTCCCCTTAAATTACATAGCTAAAATGGAATTACGTGTATGAAATTGCAAATTGATTATAGAGAAATAATAGGTGTTTATGACTAATTACAGCTGTTGGCATTGATTTTGGCATCTCCTGTCATTTATATTTCCTGCTTTTTTCGTTTAATTGTTTTTCTTGGCATCTCTATAAATTTAATGAGCCGTTTTTATCAAATAAAAAAAAGTACGTGCCCTCGAAACAATCTCTATGAAATTTATTTGACTAAATCAATCCATATAATCTTTCTAAAGTACAGTACAATTTGTTTCTTATCTCAGTACAATTATGAATGTTTGGTACTACACTCAGATCCAAATATTCTATAATTTAGGAGGACTAATTGATATAGTGGAGTCCATCACTGAAGTCTAGGTTTTAGTAGAAAGGTGACAAATTAGGAGACCGGGCCATGGCGGAGGACGGCGGCGAAAGAGAACGGCCAGAAGAAGACGAAGACGACGAACAAGAATCCGAGACAGGATCTTTGGCCGGAATATTCCTTATGGCCGGCGCCACCACATCTTCTAGAAGCCCTTGTCGCTGTCGCCGGTGATCAAGCGCCGGGAACAGCTCTTCCTCCGACAGGAACCTTCTCGAGGCCTCTTCTTGGGCTTTATGGGCCTGTACGGAGGGTTGGGTCTCTTGGGCTTGGTGGGCTTCAGGTGTAGAGGGTTTGGGCTTTTTAATGGGCCTATGGGCCTTGTCGGGGAGGAAGAAAGGGTAGGTGAAGTGAAGGTGGAGACCCTCGTAGGTGATGATGAACGTGTCGGGGTCATCTATGGATCTCTCCACCTGTTTCTTCGCATTGCATCTGGTGTTCGTGCACTTGTAATAACTCCTACGAGGAACCATGCCCAAAATGAAATACCATTGTAAATAAATTTCGACAGGTTCATTTTTCATATGGATTATGGTCCGGTGTCCGGTCCATATGGTTCTAAACGTGATACCGTTTAAGAAAAGGAAAAGACGGGAACGGTTAGAATCGAAACTGTGTATTTCAATTTCAATTTCAATTTAACATCGGTAATTCTAACTAATGGATGGTACTGCGTAATTTAGAATTTAAATTTGGTTTACAATTAAAAAGAATTGCATATATACTTTGTATGATACGTACCTCGGATTAGGGCTATTCTTGATGGATTTCTGACCATATTTTCTCCACTTGTAACCATCGTCACCCATTCCATTACCACTATTCTTCACTTTCAATGTGTACCTATGCTCCATCTTGCTCAAATCCCTCTCGAGCAAAGGGGCCCTTCATGTATATACACACACACACACACACATCAAACCCCAAAATACAAAAAAGTAACGTGGATATTGATTGGAAATGAAATATTTTTTTTAAAAATAATAATCAGACTTCGTCTTGTACGAGGGGTTTACCTAGACATGGAAACCATCTGATGGGCCGACTCGGTACGAGGTTCAACCACGGACAAAGCGTCCTCAATGTCTTTGATTCTCGGTCCTGAATAAAGGGTCGAAATCAATCTGTTCGTAAAATCTTTTTCCGGACAATTTCGATCAGTTTCAGGCCTCACGAGCTCTTCTTCTTCTTCTTCTTGCAGTAACAGATGCGGCTCATTGGCAAGAAGCTCATTCATCACTTCTTCCTTCTCGTACCCTCTAAACCATTCCGAAGCTCTTTGTTCTTCCATTTTGAGAGCATGAGAAAAAAAAAACAAGAAACGGAGAGAGCTCTCTTCGAGAAGAAGCAGTCAAGTTTCTTTGGTATATATATATATATATATTTTTTCTGGTGTTGATTTAAACTCGTATCTGTATGTAAACGACTTTTACCGTGATATGATGTTTTTGATAATATATAGTAAATAATATATAATAGGTTTGTTTTGATTTTGGCTAGATTCGTTGAATTTGTTTTTGTATAAACAATATACAATAATTTTTTATATATCAAATTTGAGTTAATTACAATTATGAATTTTCCGGCTCTATTTTTTTTATTATATATCCAAACCGGAATTTCTACCCATATCATATGATACGATACACGATTTAACGTCATAATTTATCTTAGCAGTTTTACAAACACTCGTTGAAAAAATCGCCAATATATATATATATATATATGAAATTATTTTGTTGATAAGGATGGATGATTTAATTTAAATAAAATGAAAGACAGGAATAAAGAAGTGGACCCCAATTCTTCAACCAAAGCAAGAGTCAACCACCAAAGAACGAGCAAGTAAAACCTAAGCTTCTTTCCTTGTTTCTGTCACCTTGTCTCCCATGGAATCTCGTTCTATTATGTATTATTTTTGTGACCTTTTTCTATTTTTAAATTAATCTCCATTTCTTTATGGCAGTTGAAGAATGCATTATTTGGCATATTTTAATTAATAGACACACCCTAATTGCATATATGAAAGAAAATATTAAGTTAAGCATATACTATATGTAGGTGTGTACACAGAACGAGAGGGAGAGGGGAAGAAAACCCTCTACGTTTTCTTTTTTGGTTCAATCTTTAAATGCCAATGGTTATAGAGTTAAGTATTCATACTAACCTCAATTATGATAATGTTATATGTAAATTGCACCTCCTTAACATGCCTCAACAATCATATATGTGAAATAAATAGTCTGTATATATACTTTCTTAATATTTATTAAATTGATATCATATTAACTACGTACCAAATTAAACATGAGAATTGACAATGGATTATGAAAATGAGACTTAGTATTTTATTATATAGGGCATTAGGAATGGTGCTTTGTCCCTTTAGGCCGCTGTCGAATTAAGAGTAAATTAAAACTAGAGACCTAATCATCAATTAATATGCCTGATTTGTGATTTGCTACACACCCATCTAAGGAAAACCTTAATTAGTATTTAAATGTGATTAATTAAGGGTTTCTAGAAAATATAGCAATTACGTGATTACATAATCTATCTTTTTTCCCTCCCTACCTATTCAATAACCTTTTTTTTTCCCTAAATATATTTTTTCCCATTCAATAAATTTTGTTTCTTATTGTAAAACTTCCCCATTACAATCGGCATTTCCGTTTATAAATAAACCGGAATAATATTTTTGGTGAAACTAATTATATTAGTTCGAAATGAATATGAACTTTTTTTTTAAAAAAAAAAATGAATGAATATGAAAGTCTGTTTCGAAAAGTAAACATGCCAAAATTTTAAAACGTTCAAACCGAACCGAAAATCAATATAATATCCAAATATATATAGTTTTTTTAAATTTAATAAACCAACATATATTTGAAACCTGAAATACACAAAAATATATATATATATTATACAATCACTTCGCACAATAATTCACGATCAACAAGTAGATGATTCATAAAAATAGGAGAATTGCACATATTGTTCACCGAGCTATTTTCATTTTTTTTTTTAACTGTTGGAAGAATTTAATGGCGATAATAATGCAGAATTGTCATGTTATGAAACGAAGAATGAGACAAGGCAACATATATGTATATAGCATTGCCTATTTTAATGGACATCGGTCTAACGTCCACTCGTTCTAACGAATCATTAGCCTCCATGGCTATCTTGTAGGCTTATCTTAGGGACCCCATATATAATTGTTACGGTCTATTTAGTGATTTTATTTCATTTCTTGTTGTTATGTGGCTTTGACTTTGTGAGTTTAGGACAAAATCTCAAAAAAAAAAAAGGACAATGAAATGAAAATCATATGGGGCATGGGGGGGTTGACTGTCAGAGTGGGCTTAGGTTTCATGTGACTTGTGGATTTGGTTTGGGTCCTAACCAAACATTTCTTGTTTTTTCCCCCCCTCAAAGTCAACCCCTTCATTTCTATCCATTTTTACAATACCACGGCAATTGTCGTTATGTGTATATATTGATATAGAACTCGGATATTTTCAATCGAAATAGTGTCTATTTTTAGAGAGATTATTATATATATTTGATCTAGAAAATTATTTTTTATCGAATACAAAAACTATAGAAAAATATAGATAGAATCCCAAACAGGAACTAAAAACCAAAAGCTAATAGAAAAAAAACGAAACTCTTAATATAAAACAAAGACCATCTTAAGGATTTTTAGACTATTCGATCTCAATCTCCTCATATTTATCTCCATCTATGCATATATACGAAGAGTATATTTCTATATTGGTCAAGAGTGGGCTAATAAGGATTTTTTTTTTTGCATATTCCATGAGGGTAACAACTAACAAATGAATGATATATTTCTAATAGATTTTAATGATATTTTTGTGTTTTTAAAGTTTTAAAGAGATTTTTTCTTGAAAAAAGAAATCATTTTTAAAAAATCAAAAAAATAATTATTTTTCTAATTAACATCTCCATAAGCTAATTGTCATAAACAAAATCATTAAGGTGTTGTAGACTGTAAAACTTATAGGTTTTGTGTGTTACATTTCAAGAAAACGTCGGAATCCCAAACGCCAAGATCTTAGGTGACGCGCCGATCTATCGTGCCGCCTCATAATCTCACCAATCATCCTCTGCCACATGTCCGAGCTTTGATTCGTGTCTTACACGCGCTGGAAAAATTCAAACTTCTAATGTCTTTGACGACATCCCACAAGAACACGAATCAAAGCGAGATTCTAATTTCTCGCCTTGTGTTGTTCGAGGAAGCGATCCGGTGATATCTGCTCTACGATGCTCTACGATGGATGAGGATGAGACGAACCCATCTCCGATTGATAGGTTTCTGAGCTTTTACGCCATGAAAGCTCTGCTCTTTTTTCCTCTTTGAGATGGTTAAAGCATCTGTTTATAGATACAGGGTTTTTGATTTATGGGTCGTCGTCTATTGAAATCTCCAAACAATGTTTAGTTTAGTTTTTTCAGCGTGTTCTTCATGTGCTGATTTTGCGTCTACCAGGTGTTCGATGGTTTTCTCAAGCGTGTTTCGTGGGAATGTAATGTCAAAGCTGAAGTCTTTTTTTAATGTTTGAGATCCATATGGCGTCAAAACTTTTTCGAAAAATTAGAGATGAATTGCCATTTAGTACACACCCTTATTTAGCATTAGATTTGTGGAGTGTGTGAACAATGGACTGTGACCACTTACCGGTTAGTGTGTAGACACCGTTTTGGGTATGGGTGCCACAATGTGTTCTCCTAGACATATGAATTACTGTGTTACTTGTGTCTTATTGCATCTTCTCACATTGATCAAAGTTGAAGTTTCTAGATGTCTGCACACACAATGTCTCAAATCTGTGAAGTTGGAGACACATGGAGTCACAATCTTGGATTCAGATATGAGTTGTATCTAGTGAATGACCCGTATTCTCTCATGAGAAAAGAAGTTGTGCTTGCTCTTTACTTTTGGTATTGTTTAACTCCCTCCATGTCGTGGCGATTTATGGCTTTTAGAACACAATCTTTGCTTTTGCTTTCAGTGATGTTATCAGCCATCCGGTGGCTGATGTGGGCTCGGGCAGGAAAAGGAAACTACTAGCCGAAGTATTGGAACTTCCCCTGCGAAAACAAGTTTGCCACAAGCAAACTTCTCTTGCTGATCCATGTTCTCCATTAGGCAGGTTTCTCGGCAAATTACCAGAGACAGAATCAGGTATTACGGCAATTAGCCACAGCTTTTCTGGGGATGACGAGTTTGCAGAATGCTCTTATGCCACATATGACTATAAGACTGCTAAAGCTTCATCTGATGAAAGTACTCCTTCTGCGTCTAATACCGGGGGTTTTCACATGTCGATGGATCCCTCTCATTCAAATGGAAGTTCAAGCTTAACCAAGAGTGAGATGATCAAATGTTATGACTTTGCTTCATCAAGCAGTGACTGTATGTCATCCAAAGATTATGACAAAACACAAACGGGTGAAGACCTAAATCAGCTCGAGTTCCTGAGTTCTGAGTTTGTGGCCGTTGGTCAGGAGCAACAGCTCCATGAAGAAGAAATTGAAGAGCCTCTCTGCTGTGGAGACCCGGATGCCGGATCTTTCCTCCTTTCATCTGCAAGATGGAGTGTCAGCACCCGAGGTGATTGAAAACGAGGAAAAGAACTGTAAAGATTTAATCTTTGTTGGGGATCTTCTAGTGTTGTTTGTTGCTTGCAATGTAGTTACATTTCACTCGGCCATTGGATGCAGATGCTGGAGAGGGTACGAGGAAACCGACCATCGATCAAGATTTCGAGCAATTTTTTTCTTCATTTCTGGTGTAACAGCTATCATCGCGATGTTTTGTAAATACGTCATCCGGTCCAGAATCGATGCTGGAAATCCAAGAACAAGGCAAATCAGTTGCCGGTTATGCAACTCCTGTCTCTGGTTATAAGACATTTGGATCCTGTAAAGCTCGCACCTGTCCTCCTGTTTGTGATTTCACTCTTGTGTATTCCGAACTTCCAATGTAGTTTAGAAGTTTTCTTTCTTCAGATCAGAGAAAACCGTTCGTTGGAACAAAAATCGAACTTTGTTGTAACCCAGAATCGGACAGGGAGAAAATGAATGAATCTTGAAAAGAAGTAATTGTCTGAACAAATCCGAACCCAGTACAGACCAAACCCCATTTGAAAAAATAGGCAACAACACAAATCTGATCTAGAAGATCCTAAACCCCGATAAACACCTATATACAGAACACCCAAACAGAGACTCGCGAGATAAAACCCTAGAACGTTAAGCCCAAGCTTCTCGTCGAGGCTGCGCGTAGAACAAGCTCTCCAGTTCCGGCGGGCGAAAAAAACCATTTCTCGGCGGACCTCGCATCATCCCCGCCGTCGATTTCTTCCTCGGGGGCGGCGGACACACTGACGCCGCCGGAATACGATACTTTCTGCTTCTCGGCGTCGTGCATCCTTCCTCCGCCATCTCCTGCCACTCCACCGCCTCCATTATCAACCCTCCTCCGTCGCTTAATCTGTCGGAAAATCCTGCCGTTTAGGAAGAGAAGGCGGTCAAGGTTTACATATATAAATGAAAAAATCAAGACTTTGGAAACTGAAATTTAGGAGGGAGAAAGGAACGTTCGTTGCCTTCGCTCGTTGGAAACTGAAACAGCTTCCTGTCGAAGCTTTTCCTTTTGTGGGTTTGATATCTGATCGGACGGTGGAGAAAACCCGACAGGGGAACGTGAGCTGGAGAGAATGACGTGGCAAACTTTAAGTGGATGAAAGGAAATGTAACCATACGCGTGTCCGCAGCCTCGCGATTTAATTAATATTTAGTTTTTAAATTTCGGATTTTGCCGGTGCCAACTTGCGCGACAAGTCGTTCTGCGCGGGAAAACTCTCGTCTAAAACCCTCCGATTCAGGAAGCGGCAACGACAAAGAGGTGCAAGATCATCTTGTTCCACGAAACAGTGTTCTTTCAGGCATTTTATCGAACAGTTCATATGCCTTTATGAGCAGTACCCCATTGATCACAGACTATGATTCATAGATCTCCAAGTAACGATATTCTTCTCCGGAATTTCATATGAAACAGCATCTCCGCGTCAGGAAATCGGCTTCAGTTTCGAGTATGCAATTGAGCGTGGCCGTCAATGTCACCACATTGTTTTACTAGCCTCATCCATACAGTCTATTCTGATATACCCAGTGATCAAACCCGACCATCTCTCTCAGGAAATTTTTCGAACAGTTTGCGTGCTTTCGGCGATTCTGCCTTCTTTGATCAGATTTCTAAATCAGCCATTCGGATCATCACGCCACGTGCGAATTGGGTCTGCATTCCTTCCGGAATGGTTGGAAGAGCCATTAGATCATACGAGGTTGAGCAGTACGAATCGGACAGAACTTGAGATGGGACCAAATTGGGCTCTTGCGTAGAGATTTTTCAGCTCGGACGAGGCGTGAGATCTCCGTAGCCAAATCGCCAAATTCTGCTCCTTTCTTCTTTTTCGTCTGCGTACTAAAATGACAGTGATCTATCCCAAGGCCAAGAAGAAGACAAAGATACTGTCGTAATTAATCTTTACCAAACACTAATATTCCTAAATTTAAAAATAACACATCAGTCATGTTTTTTCTAAAAAATGAATTTTTTTTGTTATTATGATTTTAAATTTCTTTTTTAATTATAGTGTTTCTCCACCGCCTAATCTTCAAAACTTTATGTTTTTTTTTATAAAACAATTTATAAGTTAGTATTTTATTAGTGACAATGATGTATTTTCTCCGAAATTTTAAAAGTGTGTGAGATCATCAATTCTAATTTTTATATAGAATAAAAAAAATGAATCGTAAACTATAAATATCTAAATATTTTCATCCAAACGTGAGTGCCAACTAATTTCTTTTGGATTCCATATAAAATTCAGAAATTAAAGAACATAGTGTTTCTAGTACAGTCTAATATATCTAATATTGATATCAATATGACTTTATAATGAATATAACAATCACAATATAGCAAAATTGCATTATGTTACAAAACAACGGGACACAAAATACTAAAATCACCAAATTCAAATACATCTTCAAAGACACCCAACCTGCCACTAACAAACTCGCCGCATCTCCAAAGTTAAATGCTTCATAAAGGCTGTAGGGTCCACGTAATCTGACGGTGTTAATTAACAGGACCACCGTGATCACGTGCACCTTATACTACATAATAATTTTCTACCTACTTACCTATTACTGGGAGTCACGGTAAAAATGCACATAACCCCCCACCCCCCATACTCTCAATATATGCATAGTTTACTCCCGGTACTTTCAATTGTTACATATACGTCCTAACCAATGTAAAAAATGGAAGGACACGAAATCAATACATGTTTTCTTATGATTTGCAATGGGGAGATTAGGTGCATTTTTACCGTGTTGATATTATGCGTTCATGATCCGATCCCGAGTCTCTGGCTGGAGACGTCGCATTGAATTCGAGCAAGGCCGATTCTCGATCTCTCGAGATCGAATTCGATCCACATATTCTGTTGATGATGGTGTCCGATGACATATGCCTCGATTCCTAGTAGATCGGAGTTACCAAATGTGAAGCAATACACCGAATCGTTCCCCACAGCAAGATGTGGAACCCGGTATAGCAATGGTTCGTCATAAACCGCCATTTCCGCACCTTCGAAAACCAGGGTCACTGTTGGTAACCGGCGGAAAATCCCGGTTAGAGCCGGTCGAATCCTGTAACATAGATCCATTGCACCTTGGAAAACAAAGTCAGGATCTTCGTAAACCGGGAGAATTCCACTGGTCCGATTCAGGAATTCGTCTCGGAGTGCGGTGTAAACCGGTCCAAGTAAGAATGTGAACTGGGTTCCTGAATCAACCATGGTTTGACCGGCACCGGTATGGTCTGGCCGTAGAACCGATTCCGGTATCGGTAACAGCTTACCATCCACTTTGATCCCCGTGAGCTGAACCGTGTAAGCGACCCGGTCGAAGTAAGGTAACGGCGTCGAGATCTGTATTAACGGCGTGTAGTTTAACGGCCCGAGCCAGGAGAAATTGGCGTCGCCGAGAAGAAGTACGCCGGAGAGATCAGAGGAGCCCGAGATGCAGTACGAGAATTTGGGGAAACCCATCTGAGAGATGAAGGAGAGGGACCCACGGTTCATGCCCAGTAATCCGGTGGTCTTGTTGTCTTCTTCCGGGTCGGATCCCGATACGAAACCCATGCACCCGAAAACAAGACCCGAGATATTGGAGCTCCCGATATGGAAAATCTCGGACGCGAGATTCCCCTCCGACGAGGAAGCATCTGCGTAAGACAACGTGGCGTGACAGAGGTTGTCGGAGTCGCAGGAGGCGGGTATGAGGAAATCCCGGGTCCGGGTCCGACAAGTAGCGGAGGAACATGGGATCGGAGAGTACGAGGAAGACCGGGTCGGGTCGAACTTATTCGGATTCTGGGTTGGGTTCGTGCCGGGAGAGCTCCGGTTGCATCGTAGCCATGAGAGCTCGCTGCCGGTGTCGATGACCATGGAGACGTTTTGCGGCGGAGTTCCGACGGGG